TTCCCAGAATTAACCAGCAATTTCTTTAAAAATATTTTCTCTTCGCGATGAAGGCAACAGAATTCCCATAAACGGATAGTATTCACGCGTACCGTTGTCAGTGGATATTACGTAGTTGGTCAGGTACCCTATTGAAAAAACGGCTCTATTTACCGGAGCATTGACCGGAATATATACTGTTAAATAGATATCGAACAAACTTACAAACAAGCCCATCCCTGTATTTAATTAACTTAATTTAATTACCTAATGAAAGATAAAAAAACTAGTGTCAATATTAAATACAAATATTTACTCACGAATAATATCTATTTCTCCCATCTTTAGCACCTACATTAGTGCAATACATCGACACAAAAAGTCAACACATGTCTGAAATAAAAGAACGTACACACATTGGAAAAAACGTACAATCCCTCAAATGTACCTATTTAATCGGGAATTTTCTCGGAATTACACCGTGGTACAACTTTAAAAATCAAGAATTTCTAACACCGGTCAAGAATAAAATAACCTGTTCGATTTTAGGACTTGGTTTAATTACTCTTTGGATATTTGGACTTACTATTATAGATGTATCGACTGTTCATAAGTACCAGAAATTACTGATTGTTTTGAAAGATATTTTACCCTTAATTTCTATTGAATACCTAATTTTTTCTTCAGCTTTTATGAAAAGAAGAACTTGGAAAGATCTGCTACTTAAAATGAACTTCTTAGATACTGAAATTAAAGATTATACGAAGAATAGTAAGATATTTACACCATGTAGATGGTTGATATTCGCACACGTACTTTTCATAGTGATTTACTTAAACAAACTTATTATATTTCTAAATATACTCGGTTTTAAATACTTCTTCACGTATGGAAACAATCTAATAACCATGTACTATTCTTTATATTTAATACTGTTAATGAGTTCCATTTTGTTAATAATAAGAAAAAGATACAGAGATTTGAATAAAACTTTAAACGATATCATGCAATATGATGGTGATATAAAAATGTTAAAAGGAATTAGAAAAATTGGTAAATATTACCGGTTTCTTGGAGATACTATTACTACCTTTAATTCCATTTTTGGTACGACTCTGTGCTTGATGGTACTGCATTCTATTATAGATCTTTTGAATTGCGTGAATTTGTTATTGAAGAGCATCGTGTATGTCGCGTTTGGATGGAAGGTGATTGTTTCCTGTATAGGAATTTGTTTTATTTCTATGGTAAGTATTAAAAATTATATTTTTTCTACACGCTCATGGGTATTTGCTATTCTACGTACAGACTACAAAACGAAAAAGTATGCCATTGCGTTTAACTGAACGAATATAATTCATATCCATTCTATCTACTAAGAACACTGTATGAAATCCACCAATCACAGTTCATATTTTGGTCACCCGAGTTAATTTATTATTTTAATGCATTACTTTTTATTCTTACACCGGGTGTTTAAATTAAATTATTACAGAAGAATACAGCCGAAAATACGCATTTAGTAGAAAAAGTTTCAAACAAAATTTTATAGTTTTTTTTTGGGGAAACATATTGATACATTGAAACATCTTAATACTCTTGTTCTTTTTTATACTATTGATCTCATGATACTTTTGATACTCTTGCTACGTGATTCTTAACTTGAGTGCCAAATCTGTTACATGACAAATTGGGTGTCAGAAATGTTAACCTGGTTACCCTCGGCCTAGCTCAGCAGAATCGATGAAATTCGGATTAGAACAGACTGCAAATGACTTTGTGACATTAAATGATAAACAAACAAGGCTCAATATTAGTAAAAATGCTCACGATCTCGTATCAGTGGCGTGCCTGAATGGTTTTCCCAGTAGGGTATAATTATTGAATGTCGTTAATATTCCGGAAATAAAACTGAAACGTCATTTATAACGTTACTCTCTTGATACTATTGATACTCCTGATGTCTTAATACTCTTGATCATACATATTTCATTAGAATGACTTACAACTTTTAGAATCTTTTAAAAACCCACTTTCAACGAATTTATAGAGAACAAATATTATTCAAATTTTCAGGGAAGTACCATCTACATAATACTATGTTGCGATGTTACTTCAAGCGAAGGAGTAAAAATTAAAAAAATATGCTACAAACTACAAGACATTTACGATCCATCTGTATCCGTTTCTGACGAATTGATGAAATTAGTAACGATGACCAAGCTTTATCAACCGAACGTAACCGCAGCAAGCTTCTTCGTATTGGAAAGAAGAACGCTCCTTGGGATAATAAGTATCGTTACGACGTATACGATTGTTCTAGTGCAGTTTAGGATGTCTGGTTTGGAAAATTGGAACATTGTTCATTAATTTATCAGAATAAAACAGTTAGTTATATATCGTGTTATCTTTTATGTTTTGTAGATACGTATAAATTATAAGGTATGTTCCAACCTAAGCGAAAAACATATTTCGATATAAATCAGGTATTTTACACAAAAAATGTATACAGCGCATGATTTGTACCATAATATTATGGTTTGGAGATGTGTTGGAACAGGCATATTGATCCTTAGAAATACCCGAAGTCTTCAACAAGGCAATCCAAATCACGTGACTTTAAATGGAGGACTCTTGGCAAAAACAACGTGCTTCCCTTAACAAAAACACATCTAGTGATGTTATTAGTTTGTAGTATTTTTATTTTTAGAATTTTTTTATGTGTTTAGTCGAGAAACGCCATAATTTAATATTTATTTTGAATATAGGAATAATAATTGTATGAATTTTAATAACAGTCAAATACTAATGAAAAAGTAATGTTAAGAAACTTTGTTGTTTTTGCCAAGTATCGGCTATTTTTGTACATTCCGACAGGATGTTGAATTGCCTAATTGTCTTATATACAAACAACATTCGCCTCAGAACTTAGAAAGGTAACTCTCTTGTTAGAAATCGGTGATTGCATTACAGCGCCTCTAGTAGACGTAGTGGAGAACTATAACACAATTAAGTCCTCACCGGATAAGAGTCCATATGGAAGAAGAGAAGTGGTGCCATCTTACGGTCACTTAGAGCAATACATAAACGCGCGAACATTCAAAATAACTAAAATTCGTTAGTCAAATTAAGATTATTGGAATTTATTGAATACTTAAAATAAAGATGAAAGTAATAATACTCTAGTATGGATATCCAACTGATGCAAAAATTTATTATCAAGCATTGTTTTTTCTTGAAAAACAAAACCGTTTCTGATATTTATAAAACTTTTTAGAACACCCTATATAATAGATTGCAACGTGCTCTTCGAGCACGTCGTTAATAAAAAAGTGTATTCAGATAACGTTGTTAACGATGTGCTCGAAGAGCACGTCGCAATCTATTATACAGTGTGTTCCAAAAAGTTTTATATACATGAGAAAAAGTTTTATCTTAAATTTTACAAAAAAAAATTATTCGTTCTTAGAAGTTCTTCATCGCGTAGGAGTTCATAAACATATTTTGTAAACTATAGTTGGTATACAGGGTGGTCCGGATTCAAATTGCGTATACAGATATTTCATAAACCGCATGATATACAATGTCGGTTAAATGAAGTAATAGTTTCATATTTTGACGATTAATTAAATTGTCCATAAAAGTTCTAGATTTTCGGGCTAGTTCCAGAAATATTCGACAAAATCCGAAAAAGCTAATTTTCGTTTTTTAAGTCTAGCATTGTTATTATAAAAGATATAAAAAAAAAGTTAAGGAACATTTTTGTTATAAACAAAATTTCTAATAACTCCCCCACATTAAAATTTGTTTCGTTTCGTAATTCTAGAACCGCCTTTAATTCTATTTTTTTCAAATACGAATTGGTATTTTTAATCAAATTTTTTTATATCTTCTGTGAAATGAAGGAGGCTGGAATATATCTAGTTCACTAATCATCACTTTATTTTCAATTTTATTGCACATTGAATATAACACGTCTATATCTCTTAATCATTCTCATTTAAGGCAACGCGCATGCTTGACAATTTACTCGAAACAGGTTAAGGTGTGTTCACAGTTATCATATTTAGTATAAATATTTTGTAAAAAATATAAAAAAAAAGATTTGAAAGAAGCAAAAATCGAGTCTTTTTTACTTTAATTTTTATTTTTTTTATTTTACTTTTTGATTTTTTTGCGTTTTATGAGCAGAGATAGGTACAGACATTGCTTCACATAAAAACATAGATTACACTTCCTTTAGAAAGTTTTTTGGATAAAGTTCGGTCATTCCATTTAGAACAAATTAAGTGATTCGCCCAATTTACTATTGAACCACCCTCTACACAAGCAAATAATTTTCGAATATTTAATTTTGACCCTCACTGACGGGTATAATACAAATAAATGGTTAAGATTTGCATAGAATTACGACATAGGTTTGGTAAACCCTGTATACACATAAAAATTTAGCCATATTAGTGATTGATCCAAAATTGGGCATTGGGCTTTCATTACTATAGCCTTATGTAAACTCCACAAATAATTAAAAGTTTATTATAAATATGAAGTTTATTAAAATAACTTTAAATGAAACAATAATACAAAATAATCGAATAAACACGTAACAATAATGTCTTATTAGAAACCGACTACATTCATCAACGGCGTTCGATGATCTCCCCATCCAAATAGTTGACCCACTGATTGAACCTTTGAATATGATTTTCTCTCGGCCGCCCGGTTTACGATGTTTTGGTTTCCCAGAAATCGTCTCGGGTTAAGGGACCATCCAAAAATAGATTACACTTATTACAAAGACATTAGTTTTCCCAAAGCTTACTGGAGAGTAAAAAACCAAAAAAGCAGTCAAATATAACTTATCAGTACGCCCTCGTAAGAAACAGAAATCAACGTTTCGATAACGGTCCGACTTTGGTCAATCTTTTAGCTCCTTCTCCTTGATCCATTCCAACGGATTTTTTTCAGTCCAGACTATACATATTTATATTTACCCATATATATTGACTTACATAATTCAAATTCGTACACGCCGCATACATTATACATTTCGTATTTCGTAGCCCCAGCGCTATCTGAAAGTTATCACCCGATGGATGTTTAAAAGATACCCGAGCACCGAGAGGTCAACGCTGTTGGTTACACAGAATAACAAGGCAATTAAACCACTTACAGATGTTATAGTTAATTGAACGAAGAATCAATCCGTGCATTAAGTACGTTTGGAACTAAAGCCGGGGTCTAGTGTAAGCGCAAGTTGATATACGGACATTACTAAATCAAATAATAATGTTAAGAACACATAAAATTTGCGGTATTGTTAGGAGCCAGACGTGCGTTAATGTTAAGAATTTGAATAAAAAGTATTTGAGCAGCGATGCGGACCTACCAAAACAAGCCGATGTAGTAGTTCTGGGTGAGTACCAATTCAATTTAAATGCAAATTATGACATAATTGATAATAGGGTAATAAATTAAAGAAACCCATTTGAATAAATTAACAACGTTTTGGTTTATTTATTTGATACTATCTTTATCTATTCTTATGCAAAAATGTGTATCTAAATCATTATTTAAAACTATACATCATTTTTATGTTTGCAAAATCTGAGATTTTTTAAAATTTAAAATAAAAAACGCGCGTATAAAAATTATTGAAAACACAGAAAATCAACTCGAAGAGAATTCGAAATATTTCTGGAATTTTGTCAATCTAAAAAAAGTAAGACGCGACTACCGAGTAACATGTTACATAATAATGATTATTTGACACTATAATACATTGACCAATGATAATCATCTTTTAAAGCAAATCAAACCTTGAAAACCACCTTACTTCGGTGTGATAAAGATTTTCAAATAAAACACCCATGTCTTTGCAAATTTTTCGTAAAATACGTGTCTAAAAAGCCTTTCCTTTAATAGAATTTACATGGTCCGTTTCAGGAGGTAAAGCTTTTGACGTAAGAAAGAACGTGCATTTATTAAGATTTTCCACAACTTGCATTTGAATATCTTCTGCCATATCACTAATTTTTTTTTTGATAGTATTATTTAACTAGGGTGACCAAGCGTCCCCTTTTTTCTGGATTATCCCGTTTTTTTAATCACATTTCCGGTGTCCGACAAAAAATCTTGGGATGTATAAATGTCCCGGTACTTAAATGAAAAGGTACTTTGGTTTTATAATATGTAACGATCAGATATAATGTTTCAGCATATTTTTTTTTGTGTGTCATCGGCTTCAACTGCTAAGGTTATTTCGCCTCGTGTTCTGTATAGGCTTTGTTACTGTTTCCCAGCGCCACTTTAGAAACAGCACTGTTAATTAGAACCCAACAGTGAATGGTCGAGTGGGGAATCCTACCAAGGCATCAGAATTAATTTTAAATAATTAAATTAAATGAAAAAATTCCGGCTAACGGTGAGATTCGAACCTGAGACCCTTGGATCCACAGGCAGAGGCTTTACCACTAAAAAAAACTTATTAACAAATTTTAATCATTAAAATTATTAACCAATTTTAGAAACCATTTATCATATGATGATGAGTCATCCATAGTACAACATGGCTACCCTTCCGTCAGATCGATTAGATTAACGCGGACATGGCATGCTCTTTCCTGACTATATATGTTCTAAGGCAATTAGGCATTCCAAACAAATGAATTACCAGTGGGCAGGTTTGGTATATCTAGGGGTGGCGACATATGGTGTATTCTATCTACTAAATATTTTATGTCAAACACAATAAAAATAATATTTAAAAAACCCACCCATACATTTCTTTATAAATTGGCAGGCTTGGCGACTACTACTTTGAATAAAAATAGCGTCCAAGTTGCAAGACTATGTCGCTACCCCCCTTAGATATACAAGAATTTCCCACTGGCACCTATTGTTTGACAGGTCGTTGGAATGCCTAATTAGGCATTCCAACGATCTGTCAAACAATAGCTGTCAGTGCGAAGGTCTCGTATATCTATATATCTATAAATACAACAAAAATAGAAATCAATAAAAATACATAACACTATCTAATTAAAATGCTTAAAATTGTAATAAACAAACATCGCTACTACAAAGATAGTAAAATAAAAATACTAAATTCTCCAATTTTAAACCCAAAATTAGTAAAATAAATCAACCAAATGTTGTTTATAAAATTGACTGTAATTCTACTTACATTGGACAAACAAAATAATATTTACATAAAAGCATAAAAAACCATAAAAATAATATCGTAACTAATAATGAAAATTCCACTGCCTTAACTAAACATGCGTTAGAAAATTTGCACTTTTCAATTTTGAAAATGTAAGAATTCTCGAAAAGGAATCAAATTTCAACAAAAGAACAATCCTTGAGACGATACGTATTAAAAAAAATAACTCTGGTCAGATATTGACTGATTTAGGTGCCCCATTTTCTCATGCAAGCCTCGAAGAAGGTTGAAAAGTACATCGATTTTGAGTAGAATGAAAGGGAATTTACGAGTGGCCCCTGGGGATAACATATGGAAAATTAGATTTTCCTTAACAGAAATAAAAGGTGTTTTTTGCTTATTTTTCCACGCAAACCGTTTTCACTATATGATTAATTAATAGAATTAGGCTTCGAAAAACCAAAGTGGCTAAAGGGTTGAAATAAGGGCGTAATCTTGTAAAGAAAAATCGATATTTTAACTGATTTTTCCACACAAGCCAATCGAGAGTATGAAAGCATACATCGTAACTAGTCCGAAAACCATATTGGCTTGAGTGACGCGAGTGGATAAGTCCATTTTGAAGTTGGAAAATTTAACAGAAATTTTTTAAGATTTTTCAATTATTTTCTCATTAACGAAATTTTTTGCAATAAAAACTAATGAATTTAAGAGCCCAGAAAAAATCATGTCTTCATATTTTCAGAACATAGGAAAGTTGCTGGAAAAATGTATGCAAATATCACAATTTTCCCACACAAGCCGTTTGACATATGCTTAGAAAAAGTGATTCTAAGACTATATAACAAAAGGATTGAGTGTCGGACATGGCCATCATATTATTTATATCTTTATAATTTATTTAACAAAAAGCTGACAAGAAAATCTAGAAATTTCCACCATTTTCTCACGCAAGCCGTTTGTCATATGCATATAAAAAAGTAATTCTAAAACGATATAACAAAAGGCTTGAGTATCGGACATGGAACATATTATTTATCTAAAAAAGAACTGAGAAAAAAATTTTACAAATAAATATTTATGTAGGGTTATTATTATTTATTGTTCGGTGATTATTTATATAGTAAATTTACATATGAATTTAGTGCTGAATTAACAATATGTTTATTTTATAGAAAAATTTATATATTCTTTCAAAGGGCTATTAAATATAAACTTTAAAATACCTGTTAAGGGTCGATCTTTTAACCTCTGAGTAAAGTTACATGTAGGTTTACTTGACAGATTAACAAACAATATTCCTATAGTTTAATCAGCCAGTAGTTACTTTCAACTTAACTAACAGGTGAAAAGATCGACCCTTAACAGGTATTTTAAAGTTTATATTTAATAGCCCTTTGAAAGAATATATAAATTTAAATAACCTATTAACAGATTCATTACAAAGATATCTTGATCCATTTTTGAATTTTTATAAAATTAATGTACGTATAAAATAAAAATGCAGCTGCTAAACATGAAAAAGTATTCTATGGAATAGACACTTAGTGAAACCATTTTAAATTACATTTATGTAAGATATTAAAGCAATCAAGAATGTCATGAGATAAATCTTTTGACAGATCAAAATTATTTTCTTGAAGTCGATTATAAAATGTTGACGTTTCTATGATATTATGTGACATTTTGAAATTATACAAGTTATTGGATTAAATAATTATTGTGCTTTATTTTTTTTTTTTTTTGTTAAAATTGAAGTTACAGGTTGTTCGGTTCATTACATTAGTTATTTTTCTTCAAATTAAATAATTGGTAAGTACTATGATATACATTTATTTAGTTAATCAAATGAAATATTTGAATTTTTGCAATCATTTAGAAGGGGGTTAAGTTAATAAATATTTAAAATGTATAAAATTAGTCGTTGAATAGTCCGGTCACGAGACAACTCTTATAATAAAATTAATATAAAATAACTTTGAGAATCGATATTTAGATGATTTAGGGCGATATTTAGGTTTTTAGTTCTATTTTTTTTATATGGCGAATTCCAACAATAATGTTCCATTAATTTGTAGAATAAATATTTATATATACAGTTCATCAAATTTCTAGAGGTGTTCGACGCCCAGACAGAGAACGCGCTACGTGTGACTAAGATAGCTATTGTACAGTCTGCTAAACAAGTTATTTTAAATAGTTTTTAATATTTTTAGGTAATTAAATTTTAAAAGTGTGGAATAGTTTAGGGATTAAATTGGTCTGATTGGACTTTCTTAGAACGTTTTTAAAAGCAGCTAAAGATAGTATGTAGAATTGAAAATAATTATTATGCCATAAAAGGTGTTTTGGAATTCCTTCAACCTTTTGAAATTGAGTCAGAAAATATAAATTTTATAGGATAGCGGAAAATACCTATAATTTTTTTGTATGCCTTTGTAAATCGTGGAAATAGTTTATATTTTATTTCTACCTTATTAAGGAAAATGGTACCTATTATTAATAACGGTTGTTTCTAAAACATTACTAAAATTTTCGAAATTTTGTTTTTCTACAAAATAATAAACTATACTATTTAGAAAAAAATTTATTTCTCTTATAATTTTATAAAAAAATAACAGGGGAATATTTACATTTCTTGATCTATTAAACAAAACGATAAATTATCTCGACGAATGACACCATGTTCTAGTACGGAAGCTAGCTTTACATTTTTGTTGGTGGTTTCATGGGTTTCATATCAATTTTTTGTAATTGTAGTTTACACGTACATATACCTCTTAACACTTGTTTGCTTTATTAAAAAAGTGTGTTGTTGTGATTTACGTCGAAATAAGTCAAAAACAACTTGAAACCCCATATAAAATCAAAAAGGAGAAACGGAAAAAAATTGAGCCTGTAAATGAACACAACTCAGAAACAAAAATAGCTATCTAATAATAAAAAAATAAAATTTGATTCTTATGCAGCTTCATCTATATCATTAACTGTTTTTGGTTTTTTAATGGTTTTTCTTGGTGATGAAAATTCCGATATCTCACGGTTATCGATTCTTTTTTTCTCTCCAGAAATGCGGACGACAGTGTTTTTAGATACTCCTGTGGCTGCAGCAACACGATCATTTACATTTTTAAATGGTATTGAAGGTGAATTAAAGTTTCCTTCTCTTCTCATAAACTCTATAACATTGGCTATTATTTCGCGAGATTGACTGTTAATCACGCGGCCTCTTAATTTGCTATTAAACTCCA